TGCATTGAATGCTATCTTAGTATCAATACTATTATACAACGTAAGTAGCAATGATTAATTTTAACTTTTTTTAAACATTTATTTTTTTAAGTTACAGGTGGACACAATTTATTTATTTATTTATTTATTTATTTATTTATTTATTTATTTATTTATGCGTTGCCGAGGATCAAACATACTAGGTGAGCACTCTACCTCTGAGCCACAACCCCAGCCCTAATTTTAACTTTTCACAAAGGAATCAATTTAAGCCAACAAGTAACAAGATTTCTAATGAGCTGATGGAGTCAATATCTTATTTATTGTTCTCTTCTCATATGAAACGAGAAAACTTCTGAGTTTTTCTCTTCCTCGTTTATCATTCTCTAAAATGTTGACATGTAACATACTTCTCTTACATAAGTGACCTTTAGGAGGAGCTAATATTTATAATAATCATCAAATCAATGGAATATATGAGTCCACTATTTTCCTGGCTTGCTTTCAAGATTTTTTTCCTTCATTTTTATTCCATGCATCATTATTTTTTTTTCCTATAACTTTTCAAAGCCAGCTTATGGTTGATTTTTTTTTTAAGTCCTGGAGATTGAATCCGGGTCCTCCAGCATGCCAGGCAAGCACACCTCACTGAGCCACATCCCCAGATCCTTGTTATTATTTTTTTAATTTAGAACTTAGAAGCAGGAAGTATTCACAAAGCAGTCAGTGCCTCCAACTTTGCTGATGAGGTCATTTTAAGCCACAGTCATACTCAGTTGCAAATCTTATTTGGCAGAATATTTTTCCATATTTTTTATTGGTGCATTATAATTATATATAATGGTGGGATTCGTTGTTACATATTCACACATGCACATGAGGAATTTTTCTAAGTATTTTCCCAATGTTCTGAATTTAAGGCATCACTCTTCATTCCACACTCAAGGATTCCTTTTTCCTACAGTACAGCTGATCCTGTGCTTAGGACAAGCTCAATTTGTCTCACATTTCCCCACACCCTTCATTTTATTACAATTTTACTGTTAACCTGAAGTTCCAAATTAAGTTGACTTTTTCTACTATCAACAGAGATCAGGTGTTTTAAAAGGAAGAAGAGCTGATCACTGGGGCACACACCTGTGAGCACAGCTACTCTGGAGGCTGAGGCAGGAGGATCACAAGTTGAGGCCAGCCTGTGCTACCTAGTGAGACCCTGCCACAAAACAAAATTTTAAAAGGACTGGGAGATGGAGGGGAGATATAGCTCAGTGGTAGAGCCCTTGCCTCCCAGGGGAGAGGCCCCTAGAAAACAAAACTTAAAAAGAAAGAAGACAAAAAGATTATTCAAAAAGCACATTGCCATTCTTTTTATTCCCTACCTCATTCCTTTAAGAAACATCCAAATAAAGTACTTTCTTACTTTACTTTCTAACTTGCAGCAAGGTAAGAATTGGAGTAAAACAGAGCTGAGCCAGTGTTTTCAGTAGGGTAGCTTGTTTTGGCTTTCCATCATGGAATCAGCAAAAATCTTCAACTCTTGACCCCCATGCTCTGTTTTTTAACAGAGTAAACAAAGGAAACATTTCCACTGGACCAGGGCACAAGGTATGTTTCCAGAAACAGGTTATTATCTCTCCTTACCAGTTCCAAGAATGGAGATGATCCTGCAGAAATTAGACATGATTGCAAGAATAGCCAGTTACCCTCTAGGTTAGCTCTCTCTCTCTTTCCTCTAATCAACAACAACAAAAAGAATGACCATTTACTGAGCACTTACTATGTGACAGATTTCCATGCTAGATAATTTCTTTGTTCTTTCTAACCAGAAAAGTAAGCATTATTATTCCCATTTTATAGAAAGGCTCAGAGACATCAAGTACTTGCCCCAGTATAAACAGCTACAAAGCAATAGATTCCAAATTCAGTACAGTTGGGTCTAACTCCAGCTGACTAGATAAAACAATTCAGGGCTTAGACACCTCCTGCCTTGGCAGGGACTCTTGAAAAGCTACAAACAGATTAGATTGGCCTCAGATCCACCCCAGATCTGAGAAGCCTGCTGCTCCTTGAGCTACTCATCTGGCTTAAGAACCAGCAGCATCAGGCTTATATTCCTTCCCCACAGCAGGAGCTAAACCTCACAGCATTTCACAGCATTAAAGTGAGACTGCTCAGGAGATAGAGTTGTTACAACAGACATGATTTTTTAAGCTTTCAAAAAAAAAAAAAAGTTACAGATTTCCAGAGTCAGGAAGAGCTGATTTTATTTGTATTCAGTTTCCATACCAAGGCCTGTGTGACACTGTGTCCAGTTCCCAGGCCCCCAGCTCCAGTGTTGCCCCACCCCCTTTGGTCAGCAACCACACCTCAACTGGTGCACCATCCGGTGACCCTAGAACCCAGCATGGGCCCAGCACTGGCTGGCCTGGGACAGTGACCAGAGACCAACCAGAGCTACACAAAGAGAGCCTTCCCTGGCTCCTCCTACTCACTGCCAAGGGTGGAAAACAAGGCACTTTGGGCTGGGGTGAGAAGACCTAGAGGAGATCAGCAGGTGCCACACTTGAGACAATGAGCTTTACATTTCCAGAGCTGGCTCCTCCTGGTCAAAACAACATTTAACCCAAAGGCAAAGGGCAACCCGCTGAGAAACGAATCCCGACAGGAACCATCCAAGAGGTGGACAATTCTGGAAATGCAAGCTGTAAAGGGTCCAAGAGTGAGTTCCTTCACCCCATCCAATTGGTGAGCAGCTAGCTTCCTGTGGGGTCAGATCACGGGACCCCCCTGTCTCTCTTATTGTTTCATTCCACACAGGACAAGGGGACTAAGGGGCCCATCCCCACACCCCGGCCCCACCTCACTTGCCTTTTCTATGATACTGTCTTCCTATACAAAACCACTTTAAAAACTGAAGAAAACCAGGGCTGGGAATGTGGCTCAAGTGGTAGTGTGCTCACCTAGCATGCGTGAGGCACTGGGTTCAATTCTCAGCACCATATAAAAATTTTAAAAAAGATATTGTGTCCACCTAAAACTAAAAAATAAATATATATTTTAAAAAAAAGTAATGAAAACCTAATTCAGCTAAGACATTCCAAGTCACTGGTTGCTCCTCCTGGACCAAAAAACAAACAAACAAAACCTGGTTATTCAACTAGACAATTCAACTGGAGTTTTTAATTAATTAATTTTAATTAGGTATCTATGACAGCAGAATGAATTTAATTCATTGTACAACAATTCAGCTGTTTTTAAACCCATCTATACTTTATCACTCTATTTTCCACAGAGTTTGTTTGTATTTATTATAATCCACTGTGGATACTCTGTCACTCTCCTATGAAACGCCAGAATTTCTAAACACGAACACCCGAGACAACACACCCATCCTTTGTCACTGCCATCCTCAGAGCTCAAGCGAACCTTCTGGGGCTTCTGGGAGAATGTGAGGAAAGTAAAAAAAACAGCAAGTGGCTGGGAAGAGGTCTTCTGAATTCCACCACCCAGTTCATCATATAGCTTTGGCCTCCCCATTGGAAAGGAGCACAGAGATCTGACCACGAGAAGGGGCGCCTTCGCCTTACAGGGCAGGAGGCTGTGTGTGTGTGTTCTATGGGGCACTTGCACAGATTCTTTGTGGCTGGAATCAAAATCTCCAGGCCCAGATTCTTATCTGGAAATTAGTAGCTTTTTTCACTGCACACAGACATACCCCCCGCTCTTTGAATTCTCTATATTTTTACAATCAACCACAAACTCTACCCTTTTGCAATCCTGGGAAATGATGCCCACCTCTCCTGTGCCCTCACCTCACTGGGGTCACTATGGGTGAGAAGCCTCCTGGTGGGGAGTAAGCATCATAAGTGGCATGGACATATACAGAACCCTGACATCTTCCAACCCCTCAAGTGCATGATTGCATGACCAAATCTGCCACTTTGAGAATGGGAATCCCTTGTCCCAGGAAAGGATGACTTTATTGTCTAATCCAGATCCAGATCAGTTTCTGCTCACTGATATGCACTCTCCAACAAGAACTGCTGCTCTTAAAATCCACATCTTCTGTAAGGATTTATATGTGCTAATGGAATCAGCATGGGTGGGGGGAAGGAAATGGAGAGAAATGAAATCAGCAAAGAGAGCAGAGCTAGAAGCCCCCTCCACTGGTTGTTAAATCAAGCCTTGGGTGTAGGTGTGATCAGCAAAGCTGAACAAGCACGTGACATTTCCTTGACCTAGCCTCTCCCTCCATCCAATCCAGTATCCGACCACCTTCTCTTCAACACTCAGGACTCGTCGCTGGGTTCCTCTACTCTAGGAAACACCCAGGGTTCAGTGCCTTCTTACTGTGTGCACAGCCTGGGTAGCTTTTTAGATGAGCACACACGCCACATACTCTCTGTACATTTAAAGCAGACACTGCCTCCCTTCCCCATGCCGCTAAGGCCCACATAGTGCCTGGTGCACATGCTAAATGAGCATTGATTACACTTAATGAACATCACTTTTTTTCTCTTTGGTCACATATTAACAGGTTCTCAATCTTGGCTGTACATAAGAGCTGTACAAATCAATCCAGGAGCTTTCAAAAACATCTTTCCCTGGCCTGATCCCCAGAAACTTCTGATTCTATTATCTGCTGTGGGATCAGAATATAAGGGTTCTAAAAGAAATTCCACTGTGTGGCCTGAATGGAGAGCCACCATGCAATTCTCTTCTGTCCTTCTGGTCTCTCCCTTTGTTTTGGTTACCCTCAAACCTCAAAATCTTCTTTTTCTTTTTCTTTTTTTTAAACTTGTTTCCACGTGCAATGCCCTCCACCCCACCCCCCCGACATTACTGAGCCCTCTGTTTAAACTTGTCATCAAATAGGAGGGGATCTCTTATGCCGTCAATTGCCTCGAGGATTCTCTTGGCTTCCTTTCACATTTATCTTGAACTTGAGGAAGCAGCAACCACAAGATTTGAATTTGAGATCCATCAGGTTCTCAGAGTTGGGGTGTGTATAGAAGGCTTACCCAGCAGAATGAGCATGACTCCTGCCAGCTGGGCCCGCCGGTACTTGGCCACACCAGGCTCATGGCCCATTCGGATGCAGGGGAGAACTGTCAGCAGCAGCAAAATTGCCGGCAGACCCAGAACTGAGGCGGCGATCATTAGGGCCCTGCAAGCCTGCACGTAGCCTAGGAACAAGAGAACAGATAGGGTGGATTAGATCAAGGGTCCTCTTGGTTCCTGAGGCCCACCTGACATGAATTCCTTTCTTCTTCTCATCCCATTCCAAGATTTGAAATAAGCTAAATGTTGCCCAGGATAACTTCAYACCTTCAACTTCAACTTTCACAGCAACTTGGCAACAAAAACGGGGGTTAGAGAAATGGAATGGAGGTTACTGGTTTAGATCATTTGGTCAAGCTTCCAGGATGGAGGATCCAGAGCCTATTTACATTACTATAACACCTTGTAAAAGACTCAGGTGGAAATTCAAATCTTCAAAGAAGTCTTCTGCAATGGTCTGTGTGGGTTCCAGTCTTCTGTTGATCTACTCTACCTATGTCACTTTGGGCAAGTTACTTAACTGCTATGTCCTCACTATAGAATAAAAAATCAAAAAAGTGCCTACATCTCTCTGATAGAATTCTACAGAAAATTAATTAATTCATATGGTACTTAAAACAATTCCTATTCTGAGTACTGAAAATAGTTGGCCATTATCATTTGTGTTACTACTTTTATCTGCATATACTGACTGATTCATGCCTAAACATCTGCTTTTAATTCACTTTGGGTATGAATCGTATGTGGCCCTGAACTAGAGGAGTCTAAGATTCAGTCTTCTTCTCTCCGATACCTCCTCAGAGGATGCTGTCCTCATGACTCCTGCCCTCTATAGATGTTCAGGCTCCATCCTGACCCACAGTGCCCTGAACATGCTTCCCCAATTGTCTGTCCATCATTGTCTTAAAGTGATCTCTCCAGCCCTGGGGATTTCTGGAGGCCAGACACCTGCCTTGGCTTTCATGTGACCACAAATGATGATGTAAACAAAACAATTATAAATGAAAGAATAAGTGGATTGAATAATAAGGAAGTAGAATAAAGCTATCTAAACTCTATACTGTCAAGTAAAATGCCAAGTAACAACTTTATTAAGAAACAGATTATAATATGTACAATATTTATGTAGAATAAATATGGCAAAGTGCTGGGAGAAATTCACAACCTTAAGTTTACTGTTTCATTTTTATATTTGTTTCTCATTAAAACACTCCTCCCCACCCCACCTCCTGCCAAAAAAAAAAAAGTAGTATTCATGACCCTCCTTTTTATGCTCAAACTTAACTAATGCTCATACACCAGGCCCCCATACCAAATCCAGCCAGCTCGCCTTGTGCACCAAGACCCAACTTTAGCACTGTCTCTTAGCAAGGTATATTTTGCCAGAGTTCAGATTCCAGAAGGGCTGTCTTCCAGCCACTGCCCATGTCAGCTTCTTTGGAATTAAAAATAATTCATTTGGTATCTATTGCCTTGAAGACTCTCAAAGAAGAGCCAAAGAAGTCTGAGGCCCAGCCTCTCCCTGGCCTTTCAATCTGTAGGAGAGGCAGGAAAGACACAAAGGAGGTAGTCAACTAGCAACAGAGGTTCTGAATATCATGGCACAGGCTGTCCACGTGCTACAGTGACAAGGCCATGTCCAGAAGTAAAACATGGAGGTGGAGGACATCCCTGCCCCCAACAAAAGTATAAGGGGGGCAGAGATCAGGAAGGATTAAGCCCTCACCATAATATTTTCCACCCTGGAGAATGGCCCATGTTCTCTGAAAACAAACCACTTGGCACTGAATGCTCAGTAAATTTAACTCCAGGGGAAGCAGAAGAATAAATTTATCGTTCGGTCACAGGTCCTTAAAAATTTCATGCCCAGATTTTAATAGCTACCCTTTATGGAACATCGATTACACAAAAGAAAGCTTACATTTCTCACCTCATTCAATCCCTAAAGCAATCTTAAAAGATAGGTAGTTGGTTTTATTTTAACTTTTAAAAGACGACAAATGGGGATTCAAAGAGGTTAACAACTTTTCTCTAATCACCCAGACTGTGAGTGTTGGGATCAGAACCAGCATTAACTGAAGCTGGATCCTGACCAGGGTTTGCTGGCCTCTTCTGTCTTTCTGAAAGGGTTATGAAAGGCAGACATAATGTGCACTGTGCACACCTATTAGGTGCCAGAGGTGATACCCAGGTTAGGAGAGGATGCAAAGACGGTAGAAGACAACTTACAACAATAAAAACAAAACAAAGCAGAAAAGTGATGTTATAAAGATAAGCCAAGTATTAGGGCAGCAAAGAAGAAGGGAGATTTATTCCAATTGCCAGGACTGCGAAATAGGGCCAACTTGGGGTACTAACGGGATGCAGAATTTCTGAACGTCAAAGACTTCTCGGAGAAGGCACAAAGTGAACCTCCTAGAAGGGTCGCTTCAGAGTCAAGTTTCTCTCAGTCTGAAAGAAGCCAGCGCAGAATTCACAAAGGCTCCAGGGAAGAGCCAGGTGAAGAATGAGCCCGCAGGGCAGGGCAGATTTCTAGCAGAAAACTTGAGGGGGCGCGCGTGGCCTCGCTATTCATTCAACTTAGCTTGTAGTTAAATCGAAATTCAAATTTGCCCAAAATTTCCCCACAGGACTACAAAGGAAGATGGGGCTCCCCGTGGGAGTGGGAGAGGCGGAGGCTGGTCAATTCTTCCCCCTGCTCTCCACTCACAGCTGCAAGCCAGAAGTAATGACTTTTGGCGGCGCTCAGTCTCTTGCAATGTAGTCTGTACTCTTCCCATCCAACTGGAGGGTCATGGAGCAGGGGAGGGTGTCACCGCAGCGTCGCTGTCGGACTCCTCGATAGCAGAGGCAGAGATAGGGTAGAATAGATAAAATAGACCCTGGGGACTGAGAGAATCAACCTGGGATTTGCTAAATTGGGCAGCCCAGAGACATCCTTAGTGAACTTCTTGGCGACAGGGGGGGTGGGCGGGTGGAGCTAAGAGCTCCCTAATCTCTCCAGCGCGCCTGACCCATCCCGGGAGGACTGAGAAACAGCCCGCACCTGTTTGAATCGCTCCAGTGCCTGCGTTTCACTCTTTCCTCCTCGCTTCTGCAAGAATCTTAACTGGCAGCCCCGAGCCAGTGGGAAGAATATGGGACCAGGACAGTAAAGTACTTCTGGTCAAGTGACCATCGGAGCAGTGGAGGGGTGGGACGGTGGGAATCCACTTGGTCTGAGTCCCTACTCTGTGTCTGTACCTCAGTTCATTAAATTCTTAAAGCGGCTGGACCAGCATTGCCACTGGCCAAATTATCATTACTATCCCAAATTCTAGATAAGAAAATTGAGACCGAGAGGGATTAAGTTTAGAATTGCCTAATTCTACATCAGGGTGGGAATTGGGAATGTAAAAAAAATGTGCCCAAAGGTCCTTGAGCCCCCCCAAATGTTTCTGTGAACTCTGTCTACTGCCCGCTCTCTGGTCTACGCAGAGAATGTGAGCTTAGAAAGCAGCGCTTGCACAGTGGGGGTCCTTACCCGGCAAGATGAGGATGTCCACCAGGGGCTTGCAGTGGTACAGCCCCGTGGCCATGACGCAGTCAGCCCACAGCCCCTTGGAACCCAGTTCGTCCAGCTTGCGGCAGGTAGGGATGGTGTAGCCACAGGTCACCACCCAGTCATTGGTGGATGTGGTGACGATAATGCCGATCCAGCCCACGAAGCTCGTGACGAAGCCCACCACTTGCAGGCACGTGGCCACCATGGTGGCCACCTCGACGTCCACGCGCCTCGACCCTCACTGACTGCGCCCGGACTCCGGGCTGGACAGCGCCTGCCCTGGTAGGTACTCCCTGTGCTGCCCTGGCTAGCCGCTTGCTGGCGATCGCCCGAGGCCGGACCCTCGAGGTGGAGTGGGCCGCTAGAGACTGCGAGCCCAGCACGGACGACGCGGCGGCGGCGGGCGCACAGCTGAGACAGCGACCGACGAACTGCTGGGACAGCAGCGCTGCTGGGTGGCGCGCCCCCGCCCCCCTCTTTAAACCCCGTGGCTTCGACCGACGAGCTCCAATCCGCGACCGCCCGGGGTCGAGCCCGCCAATCGCCGGGCGGGGTCCAAAGCAGGGTGTGGAAGGGAGCCGGGTAAAGGGAGGGGGGCCCGTCTCCTCGCCCGAGTGACACTCGATCCGTGTTGGAAAGTCAAATAATTCCATCCTGATCTGAGACGTGGAGAGCGCAAAGAGGGCTCTTTCTGTTCTGCTGCGAATTGTTTCTCTTCTTGCCACCCCTCTCTCATCTCTCTGGATCTCCGTTTCGCTCCATCCCTCCTCACCTTCTACCCACTCAGCTGTGAGTACACCCAAGGGCCCAAGTACAGTTCTCCCATGGCCCAGGATCGTAACTGATAACTACCCAAAAGTTCAGAGGTGACAAATTCAGCATTCTTTGGGTATAGTGGGGGAGGGGGAAATATATACATGTTATATGTATGTTATATACATATGATTTTATACATATTATATATATGCACATATATATCTACATGCATTTTACATATTTTAGCTCATTTATTATCACAAAACCTTTGTGGTTAAAAAAAATTGTCAATTACACATAGAAGAAAGCGCGAGTTGAAGGCTAAGTGGCCCCAAGTTCACCCAGCTGGCAAAAAGACTCCAAGGTCCCATCTCACCTCCCTTACTGACCATTCCTGGGAGGCAACCCTGCCAGATCATCAGTTTCTGAGAATTAATTAATTAATTTCTTTTTTATTTATGTATTCATATTCTCTCTCTCTCTCTCTCTCTCTCTCTCTCTCTCTCTCTCTCTCTCTCTCTCTCTCTCTCTCTCTCTCTTTTCCTGAGATTGAACTCAGGGGCAGTAAACTACTGAGAATTCTAAAAGACTCAAGTGTCCCATTTCTGATACATTAAAAGCCAGGCTAACACTTCAGTTCACTGTGGAAAAGTTAATATCTGTACCCCATAGAGAAAACTGCCTATACCAGACTGAGTGTACAAAGCATAAGCCACACAGTCCTAGTCATCACCAGCAAACAGCCACCTTCTCTCCTACATACCACAGCCTCCTCATCAATTATGCAATTTAAAGGTGTGAAGTACAGTAGAATGAATCAGACATAACTCTCCTAGGTTCATATTGGAGTACACAACCAGTGAAACTCATCATGTACAACCTCAAGAATGGGATCCTAATTAGAATGTTATACTCCATGTATGTATAATGTATCAAAATACACTTTACTGTCATGTATATCTAAAAAGAACAATTTAAAAAAAAATGGCAGAGTGGCACTAAAAAATGAATAAATGGATGTGTGAAGGATTTTGGCAAACACAAAAACTTCCTTCTCAAGTATTCCAGAATCTCAGATGCTTAGGATTTATTATGGATTATATTCTTTGGAATAATCATATTGTCTGAATAATGAAAAAATAACAGACATAGGATCACAAATTACAGGTACTGAGCTTCCCATAGTCATTCCTAATGCTGGTATCATTGCAAGTCACCATATTCTCTAGGAAAGTCTGTCCTTAAGAGATAATTGCATTTCTGTGGTGACTACAAAGAAATCAACTGCACAAACTGAAATGGCTCTATAATAGATGCCTAGTGCAAGGGCCAGAATGATCACCCAGAAAACAGGGACTACAAACATAGGCCAGGCTGCTGAGTTCAAATCCTGACTATACTACTTACTGGCTGTGAGACCAAATTACTTCACTTTGGGGGTTTGCTGTTGTTGTTGTTGGGTTTTGGTCTTCTTTACTCATTTGTAAAATGGGGGTCAAAATAGTGCCTACCTCATAATTTTCTTAATGATTATGTAAGTTTTTATCCAGACAGAGCTTATAATAATGTCTGCTACAAGATAAATCCTCAATAATCCTGGGCTATTCTAAATATAATATGATGCTTCAGAACTCTTGAATTTGTACCTATGTATTCTCCCTACATTTATTCAAGTTCAATTTGTGGCAACTACTTTATAGATAGATATCTCCTTTTTGATAGTGAGCCATTGGGTTTGGGGAGTATTTCATCACCTGTCTATTAATCTGGATGCTTCCAGATATTTCCTTATAACATTCAAAAATAGCTTTTGTACTAAGTACAAGATAAAATATAAAACCCAAGCAACATCAATTCATCACAAAAAGACTGATAAAATATGCACTCTTATGATTCTATTAACATTTGATATTCTTGAAAATTCAACCAATCATATCTAGCAATGCCCAGGTAACTGATAGGTTACACTACAGCATAGATGTTTTTGTAAAGCCAGATTTCAGAACTCAGGCACTAAGTGGTAAAGTGAGTTGCAAATTGTTGAGATTGCTGTCGTGGAGTGGAACTTCCTGGGTTCATATTTCTATCTTCACCCCTTGGGTTGTTCCTTAACCTATGTGATTCTCAGATTCTTCACTCTAGAGTGAGAATAGCAATGGGAGGATTAGGCAAGCTAACTTACACAAAGTATTTAGCACAGTGCCTAGTACCCATGGACATTCATTCATTTTAGCTACCATTTGTATTATTTATTGGTAATACACGTTTGATAGAGTCAAAATCTAAATAGTCATATTATTATTATTATCATCATCATCATCATCATCTAATGAGAGAGATTATCAGTGTCTAAACAATCCCAACATAGATATACAAAAAGCCACCCATGGCAGGCCAGTTTATAATTAGTTGGAATAAATTAGCCATAAGTAAAGAGAGGGCACATCCATTCAAACAGAAGTCAGAACCACACTGAAGCACTGAAAACCGGGAGCCATGAGGCAGACAGAAGTTGTGAGAATCCATAGGATTTCCTGTCCACAGGAGATGGTCTTGTGGCCCACAGATTCAGTACGCAACCCCATGGCAAGACTTGCTGAATCGTGGGGAAGTCCCTTGAATTGCCTTAGTTGAGGTCTTGCACCCTCATACACGTTCCTTAATTGTGTTCCTTATTCCTAAAGCTCTCCTTACGATGCTTCTAACTTCCCATGTAGCATGATTTAAACTGACATTCCTGGTCGGGGGTCCTTTAAGTTGTGAGAGTGAGTCTCTTGGGGCCTAAACACACCAGACAAGAATCAACAGGGGGACCCCAGACCATCTTAGTTAATTTCTTAGTTAATTTTCTCTTGGAAAACCCCATCACGCCACCTCTTCACATTTCTACAATATACAAACAGTACTAGAAAGATGTGGATGACACTTATTTCAGCCCAATATTCTTTCCATTATGAAAAATGTAAGAAGAGTCTTTCCTATGGCTCAAGCAGAAGAAACTTTTTCCCCAGATATCTGAAGGGCAGGATTAGAGGATCACTGCATGAATGCCCTAAAACACAGATGTGTACTGAACAAAAGAAATGACCAGGTTAAATGTTCTATCATTTTCATCTAAAAATAGTCAACCAAACTAAAGTGCAATTCAATTAGAACATTAACTTATGTTCAAGCCAAATAGCTTTTGAAAGCAGCAAAAGCCACCCTGAAAGCAAAGCTTGAGCCAAAGGAGTGTGCTCTCAGCGCCTACTAGTGGTTATCTTCTAGCATTGCGTACCTGTAAAAAAAAAGTTTTCTGTGTAAAGGGAGCTGTGATTTGTAGAAAAACATGATTAACCTCAACTTCACACATGCTAAATAGTGATAATTAGGCTTAACTAGAATATGCATTTCTTTGTGATAGGTTTCTTTATATATTAAAAAAATATGCATCTCTTTAGTAACCAAACGTAAAAACACAGGATGTATATGAAATTACTTAGGTAAGATTACTCCTTTAAAAATCAGGTACTTTTAGCCAGGCACGGTATCACATGCCTGCAATCCCAGCATCTTGGAAGGCTGAGGCAGGAGAATCACAAATTAAAAACTAGCCTCAGGGGGCTGGGAGGTAGAGCGCTTGACTCGATTGTGGTTCAGTGGTAGAGCGTTTGCCTCACACATGTGAAGCACTGGGTTCAATCCTCAGCACCACATAAAAATAAATAAGCAAAATAAAGATAATGTGCCTATGTATAACTAAAAAATATTTTTTTAAAAAACCAGCCTCAGCAAATTAGTGAGATCCTGTCTCAAAATGAAACATAAAGCGGGGGCTGGGGATGTGGCTCAGTGGTTAAGCACTCCTTTTGGTACCAGGTTCAATCCCTCGTATGTATGTACATACATACATACAAGTAAAAATGTCAGGAGTTTTTAATAGAATTTTTTTCGGTGTTTGGTACCAAACCTAGGGCCTTTTGCATGGTAGGCAAGTGCTCTACCATTGATCTATAACCCCATACCCAAAGGATTTCTTTTCAACAGATAGATTCCTCTGGTAGATTTTAAGTATTTGATAATGCAGAAATCCCACATAACATCATTTTAGAAATATCATAATATAAATTTATAGTGCAAACAAGTGTATCAAAGCAGGCTTTAAAAATGAAATGCCCTGTGAATTTTGGGATTTTTGTCTATTTTGTTCATCACTCAAACCTCAGAATGTTGTACAGTGCCTAACACTCAATACATATCAGTTGAATGGAGCTGAACTGAAGGGAAAGAGAGACAGAAATAGAGATAGAGACAGAACCAGACAGAGAGACAGAGAAACTGAATTTGCAAGCCTCCTAAGTTTCACTAGGATGGGAATCTGAAGATATGGTACAGAATAAACCAGGAAGGATGAAAGCTGGAGTGGGCAAGACCCTTTGTGATCTCTAAGAAAATAGAACCTTCACCAATAGAAGGGATGTGTACTGCTTAACTCTGAATCCAAAAAAGTCTCCGGTTACCCAGAGATGCTGGCCTCAACCAATGTATCTCCATCCAAGAAGAGCTGCACCTTCACACACTACTTCCATCTAGAACTTCAAATTCAGCTACTAACCTGGGTGTGATGGCATATGCCTTTAGTTCCAGCTACTTGGAAGGCTGAGGCAGGCAGATCACTCTTTTTAATATATTTTTTTTAGTTGTA